CCCTCCCTTCTTCCTTCCTTCCTTCCTTCTTTCCTTCCATCCTTTCTCTCTCTCTTTCTTTTTCTTTCTTCTTTTCCTGTGACAGAGACTTTTTAATGACTGAAAATAGATTCATGCAAAACTATTGATAAAATGGCTTCAAGAGGGTAATATAAATCCAGGGAATTGTCATCCATAAATCAATCTTTTGATCTTTCACAGTGTTGCAGACTCTTTATTTACTTTAGCAAACAGTAACAACAGCAGCCTCCACAGCCACCACCACCTTCATTGTTTTCAAAACAAGAACACCGAATGAGCCTTAAAGTGTTGATGTCTCCACCCTCTAACAGGAATCACCCATGAAATGCTCAGGTGTGACTCACTAGATCTGAATGCTAGTCCACCTCATTAGCACCCAGACTTGATCGTATAGCAAGATAGCAAGAGGCAGTAGATGTTAAATAATCTATGTTTAGCTTAATTATGCAGTTACCCAGCACATTCAGAAAGTGTTCTTTTAAACATGTATTTTAAAAAATTTAAACATGCATGAATGAAGCATTATATTCCAGAAAGCTGCCTACTGCTTCATATAAAGCATGAGTGTTCATGATCAAATGTCTAAAATGGTTGTTTTGAGACAGGCTCTCAATGCATAGTTTAGGCTCGCCTCAAACTTGTACTCCTCTAGCCTCAGCCCCGAGTGCTGGAATTATAGGCATATGTCATGTTCCCTTTAGTCTACATGCGTTACGATTTGCCAGCTGAGCATTCATGTGTGAGTAGTTTGGTTTCTGTATAAGCATTACTCCCTCTGAGGCAAGGATCTTTTGCACACACTGTTTCATGATGCGAACATGGAGGTGCAGAGCTAAGATGACAGATCACTAAATTATTATTAAATTGATGGTTTTGTTCTCTGACCCTCTCTGCTCAGCATACACCTTTCCTACCATTTTCTATCTGGAAGGGTCCCTGTCTCTTATCATCTTATTTCTTTTCCCTTGGACTTGTTCTCTCCTTAGGACACTCTACCCTGGCTTTAAACACATAGACCAAACTCTTGCTACAGTCATCAGTAACCTTTATGTCGGATGTTGCCACACCTTTCTATTCTCCCTTCCCTTCCAGTAACGTGGCTGCTCCAGCCATGTTACTAAATTTCATACTCATGCATGTACCTGTTAATTGAGGTCTGTCTTCCCTGCTAGTCTTAAAGCTCTATACAAGCAGTGAGAGTGTGCCAGTCACCACAGGTGCTTAAGAGTAGAGGAAAGAAAGCAAGTGTGAAGTAGTAACGATAGGAAACCTAAACACTCATCAGAAGAAGCCAGTACAGCAGCTGTAACTGTCTTCCTGTCCCAGAGTGCACCAGCTCATTAGAAACTGCTGTCAGTTGTGTTTACACGGTGAAAGGTTCAGGCATTATGCTGGCCTGCCCCTGTCACCTGGTGGAACAGGCAGTGCCCTAGTCAGCCCAAGGTTCCATGGGAACTAAGTCTGCACGCAGGTGCAGAGGACCCCTTTAAAGATAGGTCCCTGCCCATTTACGCTCTCTGTCTCTCTGTTTTCTCTGTCCTGCTCTGTTCCTCTGTTCTTCTGTCCCGCGATCTGTGTGCTCTGTCTCTCTATGGCGACCGGCCATGGCGGTCAGCCATTTATCCTGTTCCTCTTCTTAGTCTCCCCATTCTGCCGGGCCTTATAATAAACTTATAGTCTTATGTCTCATGTCTCAGCATTTCTCTTTTCTTCTTTTTAAACAAAAGAATAACATTTTGGCGCCCGGACGTGGAAAGGCTCTGCCCTTATACCTTCTCCCGCGACCCGCTGGCGGGCGCGTGTTAGGCAAGGGTACCCTTACAACCCACTTCCATCTCCGCTTTTCCTGGTACTCCCTCCTGCCTACAGCAGCCTGAGATGCCGGAACTCAACTTGCCGCTTTTCCAACTAAGTATTTCTGGAACTCACTGATCTGCCTATTCGCTACAATCTGGGAAGATACCCAAAACCATTCCCATGGGGCAGACCCAGCACTGTTCACTCTGGGTCCATTTTTCGGTTTCGGGCCGGGTGCTCTCAGACAGGGCAATCTGTGCCCTTTTTTTGGCCTTGCCCACAGGAAATACATTTTTATGGGATCTTTCGATTACTGCCAGCGAGTAGGTAAATGAGCGGAGTTCTGCCTCCCAATAGGAAATTACTTTCACTTGGGAATGTCCCTCATTGTTCTGTTTGCTCTATCTCTGACTGTGTTTTTTCTTGGTTGGCAATGTCTGCTTGAGACGCTCTGAGAGTTTTTTGTTTGTTTGCTGGTTTTCATTTTTCCACATGAATGAGGTTTGAAACTTTTCTGGCAATTGAGAATGTGCTTACGGGGGTCGCCATCCAAACCACGTGGGCTATCCTGGGGGCCACCATCTTGGTCATAACCAGGTGACCTAGCTTAGGCCTGCCCACTCAGTTCAATGACTTACACGGGCAAGCACTGCCATCTGACATCTTGCTTTTTATTTCTTCTTTCACTTGTTGGGTGCATTTCCTGAAGGTCAGGCATGGGATCCCTCTACCTGTTCGCTGGAATCTGTTCCAACCACTGGGTCCTTTTTCGGTTTTGGGACAGCTGTGTCCCCTGCGGGGCCAGGCCCCTGGCAACTCCCATGGGCAGACGTGCATCCGGAGAGGAGCTTTTTGCCGGTTTTCCACTTGCCTCACCCATGAGAAATGCATAGGGGAACCTTTCTGATTTCATCCAACAAGTAGATAAACAGACAAAAGCAGCTTATGGTTGCCGCTGTTTTGGTCATGTGGCCTACCTGTAGGCACACCCAGCTCCAGTGGCCTATGCCAGCAAACCTGTCTATTTCTGCCAGGTCTTTTTGCTTTTTATTTTATTTTTTGTCTATGATTTCTTCTTTCACT